GGAATATTCCCTTCGAAAACAAACTCAGCCACTGCGTCTTCAGCGGTTCGGATTTAGGAAAATTAAAATGACTGCTGTGTTCGTTATTACACCCAAGAACAGAACACCACAATCGCTTAGACGCCATTCTGCTCATAGACAGTGCTCCAGCATATCAACAATGACCGCGCCGATCCGCGCAGACTATGATTGACAGCTGGTTCACAAGCGAGGGCGGGTCTGTGTTGACTCGCTCCTGTCAATCAACAATCGTGGGAGGGGCTTCCGACCGTGTGACGTCACACGGTCGAACGGCTCAATTTGAGGCAGGGGAAAACATATAAGGAGATTAAAACAAAAACACTGGATGGATTTTTATCATTTTATGATGGTTGTGTACAGGCACTGCCAACACACATTTCAGTACAATCAACTTGTAAAAGTGCAGGTACCATTATATGACCCCTTTAAATCAAATCGATTTTTTCCCCAGCCCTAGTAAAAGGTCTGCAAAGTTTCAAACATCAAAGTGTAGATGAATGGCATTATTGTCTCCCAAATGAAAGAATTGATTCTGAACTGCGTGAAACGAGTCGTCAGTAATTCCAATCTTATTTTCTGCTCGAACCTGCGTAGGTTTGTAACTAATTTGCATAATGCCAGGCTATGGTTTTCATTGGCTGTCCGCAAACAATATTTACTTTGCCCCGCCCTAAAACTCTGTAGTTGTAGCTGAGACTGGAAGAGTTTGGTTGGTATTGTCCATGTCGAGAAGACGCTGTTTTCTGCGCTGCAAATGCAAATCCACTTTACATGCACTTCCAGAGGATGAGATTGATACGGTAAAACCGATTAATGAATTGTTACACCTCTGATTATACATCCAGTAATATGCCAACAAGCAGGAAACTATTTGAAATAAAGTGAGTGTCAGGGTTTTCATAGCAAAAGAAAACCCATCATTAATCATGACCTTAAGTTATAGGCTATAAAAAATAAACTTCTCCTGATTAGCAGAACAAAACAGATTCGCTGTACTGCAGAAAATACAGTGGAGCAATAAAGTACTTGACACATAAATCTTGCATGAAACTATTTTTCAACACAAGGTCAGTGAAAGAATATCTCAGAAATAATATTATATGAGCAGATGTATTTTGAAAATGTCACCAAAATTTTGGACCCTTATAAATATAGTTTGAAAACCTGATTTATGTGATAATATGATATACTAGCAATAATCAAACATCAGAACAAGATGCAGAGAGTAAAATTAAAAAGAAGAACAGATGCATTCCTACTTTCACATCTTCATTTTATTTCATGCTGTGTAAATAGTCAAGTTAATGCTTAATCTCGAGAAACTTTTTTTATTACCCTCTGTTAATATACAATCTACTTTATTAGGTATTTAAAACAATACAGACTATATTTGTATTATTTTGGCAATAATTATAATTAAGTATTAGTAAGTATTAATACTAATACTATAAAATATATATTACTCCTTGGGATGAAGCAGAGGCGATTGCGGCGGGCCGACAGTGATGGAGGGAACTTGTTGCCCAATATATATATATATTACACTCACCGACCACTTTACTAGGTAAACCTGTTCAACTGCACTTTAACACAAATAGCTCTAATCAGCCAATCACATGGCAGCAACTAAATGCATTTAGGCATGTAGACTAGTGTTGTAAATTTACCGACTTCAGGATTCTTAAACGCCTCTGGTTGGCCATTGTGTTCACGCACTCAACATATATGTCTGTGATTGACCATTGTGTTCACACGCTCAACATATATGTCTGTGATTGGCCATTGCGTTCACGCACTCAACATATATGTCTGTGATTGGCCATTGTGTTCACGCACTCAACATATATGTCTGTGATTGGCCATTGTGTTCACGCGCTCAACATATATGTCTGTGATTGACCATTGTGTTCACGCGCTCAACAAATATGTCTGTGATTGGCCATTGTGTTCACACGCTCAACATATATGTCTGTGATTGGCCATTGCCTTCACGCACTCAACATATATGTCTGTGATTGGCCATTGTGTTCACACGCTCAACATATATGTCTGTGATTGGCCATTGTGTTCACGCGCTCAACATATATGTCTGTGATTGGCCATTGCGTTCACGCACTCAACATATATGTCTGTGATTGGCCATTGCGTTCACGCACTCAACATATATGTCTGTGATTGGCCATTGTGTTCACACGCTCAACATATATGTCTGTGATTGGCCATTGTGTTCACACGCTCAACATATATGTCTGTGATTGGCCATTGTGTTCACGCACTCAACATATGTGTCTGTGATTGGCCATTGTGTTCACGCACTCAACATATATGTCTGTAAATGGCCATTGTGTTCACACACTCAACATATATGTCTGTGATTGGCCATTGTGTTCACACGCTCAACATATATGTCTGTGATTGGCCATTGTGTTCACGCACTCAACATATATGTCTGTGATTGGCCATTGTGTTCACGCACTCAACATATATGTCTGTGATTGGCCATTGTGTTCACACGCTCAACATATATGTCTGTGATTGGCCATTGTGTTCACACGCTCAACATATATGTCTGTGATTGGCCATTGTGTTCACGCACTCAACATATATGTCTGTGATTGGCCATTGTGTTCACGCACTCAACATATATGTCTGTAAATGGCCATTGTGTTCACACACTCAACATATATGTCTGTGATTGGCCATTGTGTTCACACGCTCAACATATATGTCTGTGATTGGCCATTGTGTTCACGCACTCAACATATATGTCTGTGATTGGCCATTGTGTTCACGCACTCAACATATATGTCTGTGATTGGCCATTGTGTTCACACGCTCAACATATATGTCTGTGATTGGCCATTGTGTTCACACGCTCAACATATATGTCTGTGATTGGCCATTGTGTTCACACGCTCAACATATATGTCTGTGATTGGCCATTGTGTTCACGCACTCAACATATATGTCTGTGATTGGCCATTGTGTTCACACACTCAACATATATGTCTCTGATTGGCCATTGTGTTCACGCACTCAACATATATGTCTGTGATTGGCCATTGTGTTCACACGCTCAACATATATGTCTGTGATTGGCCATTGTGTTCACACACTCAACATATATGTCTCTGATTGGCCATTGTGTTCACGCACTCAACATATATGTCTGTGATTGGCCATTGTGTTCACACGCTCAACATATATGTCTGTGATTGGCCATTGTGTTCACACGCTCAACATATATGTCTGTGATTGGCCATTGTGTTCACGCACTCAACATATATGTCTGTGATTGGCCATTGTGTTCACACACTCAACATATATGTCTCTGATTGGCCATTGTGTTCACGCGCTCAACATATATGTCTGTGATTGGCCATTGTGTTCACACGCTCAACATATATGTCTCTGATTGGCCATTGTGTTCACGCACTCAACATATGTCTCTGATTGGCCATTGTGTTCACGCACTCAACATATATGTCTGTGATTGGCCATTGTGTTCACGCACTCAACATATATGTCTGTGATTGGCCATTGTGTTCACGCACTCAACATATATGTCTGTGATTGGCCATTGTGTTCACGCACTCAACATATATGTCTGTGATTGGCCATTGTGTTCACGCGCTCAACATATATGTCTGTGATTGGCCATTGTGTTCACGCACTCAACATATATGTCTGTGATTGGCCATTGTGTTCACGCACTCAACATATATGTCTGTGATTGGCCATTGTGTTCACGCACTCAACATATATGTCTCTGATTGACCATTGTGTTCAAGCGCTCAACATATATGTCTCTGATTGACCATTGTGTTCACGCGCTCAACATATATGTCTGTGATTGGCCATTGTGTTCACGCACTCAACATATGTGTCTGTGATTGGCCATTGTGTTCACGCACTCAACATATATGTCTGTGATTGGCCATTGTGTTCACGCACTCAACATATATGTCTGTGATTGGCCATTGTGTTCACGCACTCAACATATATGTCTGTGATTGGCCATTGTGTTCACACGCTCAACATATATGTCTGTGATTGGCCATTGTGTTCACGCACTCAACATATGTCTCTGATTGGCCATTGTGATCACACGCTCAACATATATGTCTGTGATTGGCCATTGTGTTCACGCACTCAACATATGTCTCTGATTGGCCATTGTGTTCACGCACTCAACATATATGTCTGTGATTGGCCATTGTGTTCACACGCTCAACATATATGTCTGTGATTGGCCATTGTGTTCACACGCTCAACATATATGTCTGTGATTGGCCATTGTGTTCACACGCTCAACATATATGTCTGTGATTGGCCATTGTGTTCACACGCTCAACATATATGTCTGTGATTGGCCATTATGTTTACGCGCTCAGCATATATGGCCATGAACCCAATGGACAACCAGAAGGGTTTAAGAATCTGTTCAACAGTGTTCAAAACGTTATACCAGGGAAATGCTGGTATAGTCACATTTTTAAAATTTCAGTACCGACTTGGTACAGAAGTCGGTACTTTTAACAACACTAATCTACACATGGTCAAAACGATCTTCTGAAGCTTAATCTGAGCATCGGAATGAAGAAGAAATGTAATTAATGTGACTTTGAACGTGGCATGGTTGAGTATTTCAGAAACTGCAGATCTACTGGGATTTTCACGCACAACCATCTCTAGGGTTTACAGCGAATGGCCCGAAAAAGAGAAAATATCCAGTAAGTGGCAGTTCTGTGGGCGAAAATGCCTTGTTGATGCCAGAGGTCAGAGGAGAATTGTTCCAACTGATACAAAAGCAACAATAACTCAAATTGTTTCAACCGAGGTCTGCAGAAGAGCATCTCTGAACACACAAAATGTTGAAACAGGAAGAAGATGGACTACAGCAGCAGAAGACAAAGCAAAAAACACACAAAAACAGCTGAAGGAGAGAGTGTAGAGTATGTCTGAATGGGGCGTCTCACCTCCTAGCAGTTTGGAGTGGCAGTTGATAAACTCAGGTTTTCTTTCGGGGATGAACCGCTGACATGTGTGATGGAGGATCTGGACAAACATGCACTTCTCTCCAGCTGAACCTGCTATCCACTGGTCAGATCCATTGTCAAATATCAGGTCAAACTCAGCGCAATCCTAAACATTTTTGGATGAAGGGAAGTAGTCAAAGATCAATACTATCAAAACACCCAACAGCCATCTCAGAAAGATGGAAATGGAGAGGCCGATCTACTCACTCGCATGGGGTCGATGCCGTTCACCTGCCGCAGCTGACTGATGGTCCATTGTGTTCTCCTAACAAAAGATGATGAGCCCTCAAACTGCTTCACTTTTGTGAGGAAAACTTGTGCTGGTTTCTTATTGGTAACTGAAACGAAAATGAAAACACACTACTGGTCAATAGTTTGGAATAATTACGATTTTTTATGTTAATAAAAGAAGTCTCTTCAGCTCACCAAGGCTGTATTTATTTGATCAAGAACAGAGTAAAAAACTATTATTAACATAGACTGTATTAATAAATATTTAATTATTTACTTTTTTTCTATTTGAATATTTAAAATGTATTGTGTGTAATGTAAATATAAAATGTAATTTACTCCTGTGATTAAAATCTGACTTTTCAGCATCATTACTCCAGTCTTCAGTGTCACATGATCTTTCATAAATCATTATAATATGATGATTTGATGCTCAAGAAACATTTCTTATTATTATCAATGTTGAAAACCAGTGATACCCCAAAGTTTTGAATGGTATAGATAATAATAATAAATATTGTAATTTAGAAACGATGCATTAAATTGATGGAAAGTGACAGTAAAGATATTTATGTTACAAAAAAATTCTATGTCAGATAAATGCTGTTCTTTTGAAATTTCTATTCATTAAAGTATCCTGAAAATATGTAGCGCAGAAAAATAAACACTGATAATAAGAACCATTATCAAAAATTGAGCACCAATAATAATTCATAATAACTGAGCAGCAAATGAGCATAATAGAATAATCCTGAGGGATCATGACTCTGAAGACTGGAGTAATGATGCTGAACATTCAGCTTTGAACACACAAGCAGAAGAGACTTTCAAAAACATAACAAAAATCTTGCCAACACAAACTTTTAATAGGAAGCATACACACAGTACATTCAGATTTTTCGACATAATCCAGAAACAAACAATACTTAAGAGATCTGAAATATACACAATTTGTGGAAAATCAGCTGGCTCTCTAGCGCTCTTGTCCATATCAAAGAGCAGTGTTTACAGATCCCACCACACCCGGTTCTGCTGAAGCGAGAACATCCGGCCCAAGGCGTACTGTTTGAGGAATTTCTGATCCTCAACTGTTTGTTCAGGCCTCTGTGTACAACACTCCCTTTTCCTCCCTCTCATTCCCTCCATCTGTGTGAGGCTCATGTCAGGGTCATCTCTGATCCATCGGCCCAGCTTTCAACTCCAACATTTGTGCAGTCCCAGGAGACTCTTCTTGATGAAACTGAACACTGCACAGTAGCTCAGGGGTGTGTGTCTGTAGGAATATTCCTCAGCCATCTCAACACTCAATATCTTGACAAATCTATTGTGAAATAATGTTTAGTAACCCAACTTTACAAAATAGCCATGCACATCATCTCTATCACAACTTAATTTATTTCCTGAGTAAATCTACACAAACTCTATACCTTGCAAAAGCAAGAATTGCATACGGACAAATAGCACTGACATTTCTGAACAAAATTTGAACAGAATGAATGCGATTTACTTTGACCGAACCAGTCAAATGACAAGGAATTTTTGTTTTCGACCCAAAAACAAAAATTCTGTCATTATTTCCTCTCGTTCCAAACGTATATGACTTTCTAGTTAAACTTTATTTTGATGGTCCCTTTACAGAGTCTGTTGACTATAAGTAACGTTACACCTACATGTCTACTAACTCTCATTAGAGTGTTAGTAGAGTATTAGTAGAGTATTTGTTGAGTATTAGTAGACAGGTAGGGTTAGAATAAGTTGATATGTAATTGCAAAGAAACTTATAGTCAGTAGAATGTCTGTTGGAGGACAATCAAAATAAACAGTTAGCAGATATTAAGCAGAGAGTCTATTAATACTGTAATGACCGCTAGTTGACACATTAGTTATAGTCAACATAATGTTCAAAGGGGACTATCAAAATAAAACTTGTTACCTATACACACAAACAAATGTTTCAAGTGATTTCCTCAAATTCAACTGAATATGGAACTTAATAACTGCAAAAATCTGCAGTCTCAAAATTATTCAACCCCCTGAATAGAATCCCTCACAAGAGCACGAATCTGCAAATCAGGTGTTGTCTCAAGCACACCAGATGCAACTAATCAAGGGCTTCATTAGTTGCACCAGGTGTGCTTGAGCTAGAACACATGAAATAACTGAACTGGCTAGATTTGTTAAGTGTCACGTTTGACTGCATGTTAGAAATATGGCTAAGTCAAAAGCATGGTCCAAAAAGTTGAGAAGATATCATCGCCCTTCACAAACAAGAATCAGGATACAAAAAGATAGCGAAGGCACTAAATGTTCCCAGAGACACAGTTGGAAGCACAGTTAGCATGTTCAAAGTTAAAGGAACAGTGGTTACACTTCCTGGACGGGGCAGAAAAGGCAAGATATCAACGGCTGCAACCAGATTTCTGAGAAGGCAGGTTCAGAAAAACCCTCGAGTGACCGCAAAAGACCTTCAGCAAGACTTGAGGCACTGAGGTTTCAGCTGCACAGTAAGACGCGCACTAAACGCATGCCAGAACTCCAAGACTACACCACTACTGAACCAAAAGCACAAGAAAAGTGCTTAAAAATCATATAAATAGGTAAAAAAAAAAAAGGGGATTCTGTTCTGTGGAGCGATGAAACAAAACTGGAACGTTTCGGCCCTATGGATCAGCAGTGTGTCTGGAGGAAGAAGAATGAAGCAAATGCTGAAAAGAACACGGTCTACAGTTCAGCATGGTGGATCGGTGATGCTCTGCGGCTGCTTTACATCCTCTGGCATTGGAAACCTGCCAGAAAAAATCACTCACTGATCTTGACTGAAAATCTTTTGTGACTTTAATAAAAATGTTTCTATATTTTATTTATAAAAAGAAAACTATGCAGTGTTATTTTACATTTGATTTCAATTTCTGAACTTTGTTCAGTCTGTTTACTTGTCTTTAATAATGTTTTAAATGTATATTAGTTAGTTTATTAGTTGGTTGTTTAATATTTATTCTGACGTCCTTTTTTTTACCACCATATTCTAATCAATAAAAATCTGAGAATCAGAATTGGAATCAGAATCACTAAAATTCAAGCAATACCTAACCCTAAGGACGTGGCATGGAAATAATAGCGGGACTACAAATGAGTCGTTTCAGGCAAGGGTTTTCTGTTGGAATAATTCACTCCCTTTGGTTTTTTCACTCCCTAATTCACTCCCTTTGGCGTTTTTACAGATTGTTTACATGCACAAACAGCTTTATTGCACATTAAAGGTAAAAAGTAAAATCAAAAAACATGACAGGAGCCATTTAAAGTAAGTGAAATGTGTATTTTCCAATTGTTTTAGTATCTCTTGGCAAATAGAGGTTTCATTTGTGATTCATTCCATTCTTAGTGTCAACAGAGCTTTAAAAAGCAAAACATTCTACTGGAGATCAGCAGTAGATGATTTCCAGAAGGCTACTATAAAATACTTTCAGTGCGGTTTCCCCTCAACAACCCCAAAATGTTTTTCAAAATCTTCAGGACTCTTTGATACCTAGAGCCATGTGACCGTCCATGCTGAGCACTGTGTAATGAAACGGACTGACTCCTGGAACACAGTGTTGCTGTGGGTCTGTGGGCTGGAATGCAGAACCGTGATGTTCTGGGTGTGTTTTAGACTTTCTCTGAATGGAAGCACAAAGGCCAAGCTGGAGATCCTGGTGATGGGTCTTATTTTCTGCTCTGGGCGCTATGACTGGCTAACCACATTTATGCTTAACAAACCACATAAACTAAACTCACTTTAACAGAATATTTGCACAGTATCTGGAGATTAAATGGTCATTATCCTCAAAGAAAAATTCACAATCATGCACATTATAAATCATATTAGGGGCGGAGATAAAGTGAATGTGGCTTTGGGGTGACGATGTAATAAATTAAAATAAACAGATCTAATCCACGCACACACACACACAAAACACACGTTGTGTGTTTGCTTGGTTTAAATTCCATTTCACCATTTTTTTTTTGTTGTTGTTGTGCTGAACACACACACTGAATACACACTGTGGGAGTTTTTCCAGTTTTGGGTCACTTAGTGTGATTAGGGTGGCCATTACTATAGCAACAAAAAGGAGGAGCCGTTGCAGGATTCAGCCAAGATAAAAACTGTAAAACAATCCCAAACAAACAGTGACAGAAATTAACTCAAAATCAAGCCCCGCCCATATATTTTCTCTTCTTCCAGAAGCCGTTTCACTCAGATATATACGCCTCAACAGGGAAGAAAAGCCTATTGCAATTTCCGTTTAAATGAGACACACCTATTGAAGCTAGCTGAATTGAAGCAGAGGGCTAAAATCAGGGTAGAAAATGGCTCATTTCGAAATTAAGACAGTTGTGATATAAAATATCCTACTAACATTATAAGAGCACCTCGAGAAACATTATACAATTTAAAAAATGACCTGACCCATTTAAGTGAGCATGCTTATCTCACTGCACCATTGAGGATGTTCAGAGATGTGTTCATGGCTCTTCAGAAAATGCCAAGAAGATTGATTTATGTACAGAGCAGAGCTCAGCAAGAGTTCAGGACTCAGTCTGATGAATGGGAACTCCTAATAGTCGCTCTGCAGACTCCAGATGATCACAGACCAGCCAAATAGATCAGCACAAATGAGTCTGTGGAACCGCTCCAACCAAACCATTAACCCAGCAAGACCTCAGGCTGAGACTAATAAACAACTTCCTGGAGTACAAACATATTATTTGTGGGCATTTACACCATGGTCTGGGTGAATACTCGATCCTGATTGGCTGCAGGGTGTCCATTAAAAAGTGATAGAGGACACCTAGTAAAGGAGTTCTGGTGAAACTGACTGTTTACCGTTCGAATTTAATTAATAAATGCGCTGGCTACATCAGCTGTGAGTAACCATAGCAACAGGCAGTCAAAGTATCCGTTTACAAATTATTGCATCAAAACAAACATCTAGTTGGCCGTTATACTAATACAACAGGCCGTTATACTAATACAACAATGAGCAGAAAAAAAAACAAAAAAACTATGCCTACCTGTGTGTTTTAATTATAGGTTAAAAAAAATCAAAAGTGTAACGCCCATGGCTAG